TACAGCTTTCTGGAAGCCATGAGAAGCTTGCCCTGGGCTTCCCAGCATCTCTCCTTGTCTCTGAGGTTTGGGTTTTCGCTCTTCCATTTTCATCCTGAGGTAAACGTGAGCTATGAGCAAACAGAATGGCCCAGCGTAAGGAGCTCCTGTCTGAAAAAAAGAGAGAATTAACACAGACAAACAATCCATTGGTCATAAGAGTGGCTTGATAAGAGTCCTGTCTTTTCCCTAGCATTATTGTTTTCTTTTCTTCCCCCAGTGAGCTTTGTCTTCTTGGGAAGTGCCCAACATGGGGCAGCCTCAGTTTTGTCATTTTTGCCTCCAAAGAGAGTTCATCTGGGGGTCCAACCCCACAGAAGAGTCATGCTGGTGGTTCCTTCTCTGGAATCTCCCCACCCCACAGTTGGCCTCTCCACATATGGGGCAGTTTGGACTTCCTCAGAATATTCCCATCTCCTCGGCTCTTAACATTTCACAAGAACCGTTATTTTATATTGATTGCTTTTTTTATTACATGTTTGTGAGCCGCCCAGAGTAGACTATGCCCAAATGGGCGGCATATAAGTTCAATCACTCACTCACTCACTCACTCACTCACTCACTCACTCACTCACTCACTCACTCACTCACTCACTCACTCACTCACTCACTCAATCAATCAATCAATCAAATTCAAGAAGAGCAGAAAAATAATTGAATCGTAGAATGATGGGAGTTGGAAGGGGCGTAGAAAGCCATGGAGTGCGCACGCACACGCACATGCACACGCGCACACACGCACACAGGCACACGCGCGCGCGCACACACACACACACACACAGAGGCTCAGTGCAGGAATGCAACGTCCCAGAGTTTCAGAGAGTTTGCCCTGGAAGTGAGTCGGGCAACAAAACAGGGACTGAAACACCCATCCATCTGAGTCAGCACAGTCAGTGGCCAGGGATGATGGGAATATAAGTCAAAACACACCTAACAGGGAGGGGCCGCACACTTCCACCCCAGAGGTAAACCCTGTCACACAAGCATCTTCCTGGTTTTGACACCACTGTCTATTGTTGTACAATACGTGAATGTAGAGGCTCCATTACTCCCTGAATGCAAAGGCTACAACCCCCCCACACACACACACCTTTCTCCAGAGATGATCTATATCCCTCTAATTTTGCCTGGTCTATTTTTTGGGTTGGGGGGGGATCCTTCATTTCCCTTATTCCCTCCCCCCCCCAAAAATGCTGCCCTTCCATAAATCCCATCCTTTCCCCCAGCTGATTCCCTTCTTCCTTTTCTATTCACCTGCTTTGCAGGCCTTTCTTCTTCTTCTTCCGTCCTTCTCTCTTTCTGCAGTTGTGCACAAATTTCAAACCTTCTTCCTTTACGTGGGGGGGGGAGGGGGAGGACTTGTAAGACATTATTTGCCCCCCCTTCTCTCTCTGTCCTCTCTAGGAAAGGAAACTCTGTGGGTTTAACCCCAGCGGAAACGTTGCAGGTTGAAGTGAAAGGACAACTCAGAAGTTCAAAAGAATAAGAGAGGGGAAGTTTTTTTTTTAAATTAAAACCATGTCTAATAGAAGTGACCAAGATATTTGGATCGTATTTCAAAACACCGTCTGGGTGGGAAAGAGGGACAGTATTGAAAACAACTGACCGGGGGGGGGGGATTTACAGTTTTTA